TGCGGCCGTGTTATTTGCGATTGAGAAAAAAACTCGAATGATAATATAACTTCCTTATTTCATATTTCCATCTTGTTTGCTATTCTTTTCAATTTATATTCTAATACAGTATATCCCATCTCACGACCCTCGTTCTATTTACTTCGCAGTATATATATATATATATATATATATATATATATATATGTGTGTATATATATATGTACGAAATTCGGAAATTCGATGTTGCATATAATGAAGGGCGAACTTTGAATAAATTTTAATGACGATAGGCCGTCGGTGCAAGGATTGAACGAAGAGATTCCCAATATGTAATCCCGGTTGTTAGCATTCTAGGGTGAATTTTCCCCGTACGTTCACCGCTCTGCGACTTATTACGCCAGGGAGGAAGTTTTTTAATTAATTGGCCTATGAGAGCAATCTGCACGACGATCTCTATAGCGAAGCCACCGCTGGCTTTCCTTATACGGCGTTTAAGACACGTGCTTTTCACTTCGGTGCAAGATAATCTCTCCATCGTTTAGAGCCTTCTTAAGGTGACTCCGAGTTACTTCGGCGAGTAATATCCTCTCGCAAACTTTTGCCAACTGCGAAGACTCGGCACCGCCTGCTATGTCTGATTACCGTTTTACGGAAGAAGTTCCGTAAGAAGAAAGTTCCGGAAGAAAATTTCTCTCTCTCTTTCTCTCTTGACATTTCTTTGTATGTCTTACATTGTAATGATTTGAAGAAAGATTATTTTTAAAGAAGATTCTTTTCATGTATATTAATTGAAAGAAATTAAGATTGACAGATGCGTTTACGAGGAAAATACGATTCACTTATTTGAACATGAAAATAAATTATTGTGACGTTTAGACGAAAACCAAATACAATTTTTTTAATTTCTTTATGCTAAGAACTTTCATACAAAAAATTAACATTTCAATATTATTACATATTTTATTCATAAAGCAGAATTTAAAATATTATACGCAACAAGAATTTTCTCCTGGAATTAACATTGGAAGAATTTTTCAGAGTTTCTCCGATTAATATTTACCACAAATAAAAAATATGGATATCTACCACAGGAAGATAAAATATGTTCGATTAATTTTATTACGTACATATTAATATTTTTATGGTAAATATTAATTAATCAAGGAAACTTATATATATAAAAATTCTTCCAATACCATATTGCCCCACGATTATCATGATTTTCAGGGTAAATTCTGAGAGAAAATTCTCTACCTGTACCATTAATATATCATATTAAATTAATATATTATATTAATATATTAATATATATATATATATATTACTGATATATAGACTATTAAAATAATATATTATATTGAAAAAATATTTGAAAAATTTTTGAATGATATACGTCAATTGGAACAGGAAGTAAAAAGGAAATATGAATAAGAGCTGTCGGAAAAGGGCTGTGTCAACACGATGCCGCAATAAATCCGAACACAGTCGTCATTTATAACGTGTCTATGTGTGGCGAACGTTGCGATTATTCGTTCGCAGCAGTAAATATGTTGCGCGGAAATTTATGGCTCGACACGCTGCCGTTTCGCGCTATTATAACGTCTTCGTTTGGAAATGATTTAAGCAATGTTCCATATTTGTTATGAATGTTATTCATTCGCCAATTCGTGCTTGGCGTTGAAAAATTGGAGGAAAAATAGTACTGGAGCGATTTCACAAATTTTTTCCGCAATTAATTAACACACGCCAGTGCGCACAAATTTTTCGTTCTCCATTAACTCTCGCATTATTTTCATCCTCTCTAAAATAACAAACGATGAGATAGAAATAATGATTTGCTCTGTGAAATATAATTTATGTATAGATACATAGTTCGAATTCAAATTGGACTTTTTTATAAAAATCTCAAATCTTTTGGGGAAGAATATTAAAAAAATACTTTTTTTTAGCAAAGAATATTAAAAATATATCTTTTAGGAAAGAAACGTTATTTTTTATATATTTCCTTTATATATACAATAGAAAATTGTTTCTTTAATTATTAATAAATATTGTGAAAAATACTAAACCACATTAGTATCGTATTTGAAATATTAAAATGGGCCATGTTCTCCAAATTCTTTGGCGAACAATCCAGCGCATCGGTATCGCAGAAAAAGGGAGCTCATCCCTTTGGTTAACCGCTGGCATGCGACAACAACAATCATCGTTTCGCAGTTATCGCAACGCCAAAAGTGCCGGTGGTGCCTGTATTAATGTCGAGAAAATGCAAGACGCAAGACCTAGGGAAATCTTGAGGTGGGAGTCGGCAGAAGAAGAGAAAAAGGAGAAAGAGAAGCGGCGAAGAGAGTTGCGCGTCTTGCGGCAGGAGAAGCAGTAATTGCGTTATTAACTTAAAAGTGAGGTTCTCTTCGTAGAGAGAGAGATAGAGAGAGAGGACCGAGAAGGAACGCGCGACATCAGAATGTTGCCGGTCGGTCCTTTGCCGCAGAGCCCGCGCGTATTTTTCGCGGCACCGTATATATCTGCGAAACGACAGTGCGGATACGGAATTGCAGGTGAACCACCACCGCGGATCCACCCGTGGCGGCACGCGATGAGAGACCGCGGATAAGATATCGTTACTGCTATTACGGCGGATCGACAGTCAGTCATCAGATTGGCCGGCGTTAAAAAGTAACAGAATATTATTTTTCCTTCGGGAAAACAACCGACTTTACTAAAGTGAGAGATATTGAAATTAAATAATATTTGCGCGCGCAAATCATTTTTATATAACTTTTATTTTAATGACAAGATAAAATATGAATCTGCATTGTTTTTCTCAATTGAATTCAATAGTATTTGTTTTAAGGAATGTGTTACATATTCTATGTTTATTTAATTATTAAAATTATTAATCGTGCAATAAATAATTAATGATATGAATATGATACATATGCACAGAGAATTTTCTCTTAAAATTTACCCTGAAAATCATATGGTAATCGTGAGAACAGAGTATTAAAAATATTTACTACAATATAAATTATTAATATATACTACAATAAAATATAAAATGTTTGATTAATATAGAATTTATTATGTAATATTAATATTGTGATAAATATTTAACCAGAGAAACTCTTATAAAATTCTTCCAATACCGTATTGTCTCGGGATTACCATGATTTTCAGGGTGAATTTTAAGAGAAAATTCTCTCCGCGTATAAAATAAATTAGACCGTTTAATCTTCTCTCGCGTGCGCGAAGTTAAATAAATGTGAGAAATATCTAGCTAACTCTTTTGTTGCGAACAAATGGCTAATAGATCGCAAGGATCGCTTGCGAGCAATTCCGCAGCTATCCTTTCGCAGATATATTTGCAAGCGCAAAAATCAGATGGAAGAGAAAGAGAAATGTGTTTTCTAATCTCGTTCGAAAACGAAAGATGATTGCATCTCACTTGCGGAAGAACAGTGAGAAGGATGTAATTTTATTATACCTTGACGTCAAGCAGCTTCAGGCATACATGTAGTAAAGATATAATATATATCTGATGTATTAAAGAGAGTAAATGCAAAATTTACACATAATAATGTACATCAAAAATTGTTCAACCGCATCTCTAAATAATACAAGATATAAGAAATCATATATTCAAAACTTGGAACCTTGTTCAAGGTTCTTTTTAATCGTCTATATCGTAATCAAAGATAATTTCATTTTTTTTCTATTTATTATCATTTCTTTGTTTCGTTTAATTTTAGATATAAATGTGTAAATGTAATGCGAAAACAATACGTGAGAATTTTTATAATTGCAGAGTTCTTATAAATGCAAAAGCATGGATGAAATTGCACAGAATCGCGTACATACTCATCTTTGGTACGTTACCTATGATTGGCTTTACACCATGATTATATCAGGTAGGAAAGCACCATGGGCCTGCTACTTAATAGAGACGTAACGCCATACACGTTACACAAAGCAGGGGGTTGAGTCACGACCGATCAACGTTACACACGATAAGCTCAATCTGCGAGCTCTTTTTGGTCTTTTGTCTATTGATAAGTCAATCAATCGACAGTCTCTGGGTAAGCTTTAGAAATATGTCAATGAGATTTTATTTCAACTTCTACTTAATGAAATGTAATAATTGCACTGAACATCGCAAATAATAAAATCTATGGAAGATAAAATATTTTAATTCTACATTTATTTAATTTTATTTAATTGAATTTTTCAACTTGCAATATTAAGTAATTTTTTGATCAAATCCACCGCGCAAAGAAACATATATTAAAGAGAGAATAGAAAGAGAGAGAGAGAGAGAGAGAGAGAGAGAGAGAGGAAGCAATTGCAATTTTTGACAAATCCCACGTAATTATAGGACACAGGAAAATACCACAGGAGATTTCTGGTGGATTTTGATGTAATTTTTATTCGCGACGTGTCGGGAAAGTAGCCACATATATTTTAAACGTAAGTTATGCGTCTCACGCGTTGTACATTATTTTCTGGCTTTTGTCCGGCGAATTTAATGCCCGTGCCAGCCGAAATATCTCGGAAGGGAATCAAAGTACATACCGTGTCTCTTTCGTTGTATACAGACTTGAAGGACGCGCTACGGCGCGCGTATAAGTGCCTTATGTTCCCACGCTGGAGCAGCCTCGAGGGCTTCCCATTCCGCTATCGGCTCCTCACATTGCCCGGTATCATGTAGGTATGTATGTAACCTTCTCGTACTTGAGAAGGAGGCGCATGTACAGGGTGTACCGGTGAAACATATTGGCCCGTGGTTTCGTGAGGCGAATTAACAACGTCGAAGAGAGACGAAATGTCCCTCGTGCGTCGAAAAGAACTTTCTAAGTTTCCGATTCTTGTAATTGGGCTGGCAACTTGTTCGCGAAAAGAAAGCAGCTGATACGAAGACATTGCAAATTCACTTAAAATTACATCGAGCGACAGGGACGTGTTGTTCGATCTGTCAAAGGTGAGACACGTTGAGGGAATTTTAACGCGAGTCTGATACTCACCTTGCAAACCTCTCCTTGTCCTGCACGTTATCGTCGTCCAGTCTCCTATATTTACAACCACTCGGATCATCCTCGTCGGATCTGTAAAATCAAGCAGAGATGACATTTAATCATGAGAATCTGTCGAATATTATTCGGCATTAATTATGCCGATAGTCAAAATTCTTTTGTTTCATAAATTGCTCTAATTTTCAATTACTACACCAAGACAATTTTCTCTTAGAATTTATCCTGAAAATCATGGGAGAATTTTATAAGAGAGTTTCTCTCTATAATTAATATTTGCTACAATAAAAGATATTTATAAGAACTTATATACACAGTAAAACTAATCGAACATATTTTATACCTTATTGTGATAGGTGATATTAATATTTTTTATTGTGATAATCATTAATCAGAGAAACTCTTATAAAATTCTTTCAATACCATATTGCCTCATGATTATTATAATTTTCAAGGCACAAATATTTTCAGAGAAAATGATCTTTGTGTACTTATAAACGCTATCGCGTGATAATAAAATTAAAACGTGTTCTCGCGATAACCAATCTGTTGAGGATACATTGATCGTTAGGCGAGTTCACTACCCGAAAGGAACAAACGATAGAAATTCCACGTGCGTCGCGGCACCGATACGTAAAGTGTAATCGCTTCCGGATTACCAAACGTGACCGTACGATCCAAAATTGGTCGTCACAGGATCATCATCGGCTTTCCCCTCCAATCTTGAGCATCATACAAGCGATGACGAAAGTTTCTCGTACACGATATTCATATGACCCATCTTTCATCCCATTCATTTCGATAGTGATTAACTTTCCTCTATCCAAATTATTTCATAGTGAACAATTTTTCAAAGGTACAATAAAAATTGATAATTTTTTTTACTATTATGATAAATCATGTGTTCTTTTAAATATAATCAATATACCTTATAAGAGAATTTTATAAGTTTGTCTGATTAATATTCACCACAATCAAAAATATTAATATGTACATTAATAAAAATTAATCGAACACATTTTGTATCTTATTGTGCTATTAATATTTTTATTGTGATAAATATTAATCAGAGAAACTTTTATACAATTCTTCCACGATCACCATGATTTTCATTGAGCAAAAAGAAAAAATTCTCTCTGCGTAACGCCTGATTTTTCAATGAAATAGAATTTCGCTGCCGTAATCAGCGAAACACACAAGATGTAGGAGCAAAGTGTGAGTGTTTTCACTGAAGATCAGTGACATATTCAACCAGTACCATTTTCTGATTCAGTTCAAAAGAGAATAGAAAAAACATCAGAGGGGTCTCTCTCTTATAATTTTCAATAACAAGTTTAATAATAAGAATATTTATTAAGCAATTATTTATCTGATTCTGCGTCTTGAACGTGAAAAAGGCATAAACAAGGCGTGCGATTATCGCGTGCGGATATTGATCGATCGTGCTAAATTCGCCGCAGGAGCTCGAGAAGCGAGAACGTTTAAGACTCGCTATCGGAGAAGAATAATACATCCGAGAGAGGGATAGCACCGTAAATCCGTCACTGATCGTCTCATTACCGTATAGAAGAGCTTGTACACCGTCTCTAGCGAGCGGCATTAAGCGCGCTCTAGAAAACGATTGCGAGAGCGCGCTCAGAAATCCGACCGATCGTCAGTCTATATTGCACGGCGTTCGCGCCGGTGATGTACGATTCTGACCCTGAGCGAAAAAGCGGAACCACCTTACTTCAACCCGGGAGATCCCCTTCGCAAAGCTTCGCTCGCCTGGTGAACGTCGCGCGTTCGAGAGACGGCGTATGCAGCCTTTCTCTCTCTCTCTCTCTCTCTCTCTCGTCCTCAAACCCGTAAGATCCTACGGACTAGAAGGTGGGGATGGTGTAGGGTCCGAGTGCATCCGGGTATCGCGCTCGAGAAGGGTGAACGAGAGCCCCTTCTATCCTTCGTCTCCTTCTCCGACGTCTCTTCTGCGCGGGAACCTTCTTCTCGGACTTCCTTCGTCCCCACGTTCTCCGTTTTTTTTTTTTTTTTTTTTTTTCCCGGTGCGAGAGGGAAGTACGGGAGAAAGAGAGATCTGAAAAGGAAGAGGCCGAGAGGGAGAGCCGCGGAGACTTATGGAGTATATAATGATGCGCCCCGTGGTATTACGTCGACTTAACGGACGTGTATGCGTGCTTTGCAAGCGATGAAGTCGACGACGTCGAGAAATCTTCGTAGCGGATGGGGAAAAGGGCTCGGTTATACTCGACTGTATTAGAGGAGGAAAGAAAATGGTTGTATGCAAATTTGACGTAAATGTTTGCTATACGATCGAAAAGAATGAAGTTCTCGTTTTTCTGATCTTGATACAATTATATCCGTATTTCATACTTTTTATTTGCTAAATAAAAATTCAAAAATTAATTTAAGGGAACCGTGGTTAAAAATAGATTATATACTTGCTGAAACTTATTTTAATGGGGTAATTTTATTGTAAATATATTAAATTATTTTGTAATAATTTACATCTGCTCTTTCTCTTTGTATTTTTATAAAGCAACAAATATTACTGTATAAATATACATATATATGTATTCCTTTCGTGTCTGAAAATCTGACAAAATAATTTGCTCTCCTAGAATGATTGGAGACTGAATAACTCGTCTAAGAGTCTTGACGTGTTGTCAAACCGACACTGTGTTCGTTCTTGACATCTTAAAATTATAATTTTATTTTTATTTTACAAATCACTTGATAAGGACTCGAAGAAGGGTCGAAACGTTGTGATTGAATAAATAATATTTGCCAGTACAGTCGAGAGAAGATTCTTACCTTTTTAAATTCTGTCTGGCGATTCTCAAATATCTACGTTTTTATTAAATAAAAATACTGATTGTCTCACATAATACAGGCTGTTAATTTAATGTAAATATAATAACTGTATTATAAATGCATAATTTATTAATTCGCGATTCACCACTAAAAAAATTCTTGACGTGTATCACATGAATGTTTGCTATATGATCGAAAAGAATAAAGTTCTCGTTTTTCTGATCTTGATACTTCATGCTTTCAATTATATCCGTATTTCATACTTTTCATTTCCTAAATAAAAAATACTGATTGTCTCACACAATACAGGCTGTTAATTTAATGTAAATATAATAACTGTATTATAAATGCATAATTTATTAATTCGCGATTCATCCACTAAAAAAATTCTTGACGTGTATCGCATGAATACGCGAAGGAAAAAATGAAGATGTATATTTTAATTGTATGTTTCAACATTGTTAAAAACTATTGTGTAATATTGTGTTATAGAATTCTCACGTCGTGAAAGTATTGAATAAAATTGCTAGTTACGTCGAAATCAATTTTGCCAAGTTTATTTTCACCACTAGCGTCCAATATTAATTTTCATTGATCATATTTTAATCTTTGTCTTTCTGGATCAAGGAAAGTGTTTGAGGCAGTACATTGTCGAGGTAAACCAACGAGAAGTGAAAATTATGGGGAAAAAGGCAGCCAAAGGCGAGAGAGAGAGAGAGATAAATGTGTGACAGGGAGATGTATGAAGCGCATAATGATGCGCAGCGCGGTATTACATCGACTTAATAGGCGTTTCGCAAATAGAAAACCTCGCGCAGTCGGCTCAGTGGCTCTATTCGCTTCGGTATTAATGCGAACGAAAAGTACGGTCTATTAATATCTAATCATTGTCTATGCACGTTGCGCTGACTAAAAATGTCGAAAAAAAAATAATTAAGACCTAAACATTTTGAGAAAATATAGAAATTTGTCGAAGAACAGTTTACTTTAATCATAATCTCAAACACTCTCTATTTAACCTTTGTAACAAAACTCTCACGACTTGCAGTCATTAAATTGTCAGATATTAAGTCAAGAATATATGGATATTTGACATATATCTCTGTCCAGAAAGTGTAAGTTTAATAGTTACAATCAACGACTACAATTTACGATTGAATACGAAATTAATAGAAGCATAAATTTTCTAGATTTAAACATTAAAATAATAGACAACATCATACACTTAGATTGGTTTCAAAAAAAGACATGTTCAGGTAGAGTACTATCTTTTTTATCGAGTCACCCTATGTGCCATAAAATAGGAGTAATTTATAATCTTATCAATAGGGCATTGTTATTATCTCATCCCATATATCATAAGAAAAATTTAGAACTGTGTATTAAAATATTATTGGACAACGGTTACCCTATTCATTTAATCTTTAAAGAAATAAATAAGAGAATAAAAGTTTTAAACAATGGTCAGTTTAACAACAATAGAAAAAAAGAAATTGCAGAAGATAATAGCAAGAAAAAATTTTTCGTCATTCCATACATTAATAACATTTCTGAGACAATAGCATCGACAATAAAAAAATCAGATTTCAGAGTAGGATACCGTTGTCTAAATAATCTTAACAAATTAATTAAAGTCCACAAGGACAAAAACGTGCATAACAATAATAATAATGTTGTCTACAAAATTAATTGTAAGGATTGTGAAGCTTCGTATGTTGGGCAAACCAAAAGAAAATTACGCACTAGACTAAAAGAGCATATGAATAATATTAAATTTGATTCCTCCAAGCATTCTGTGGTCTCTGAACATATTATAGATAAAAAACATGCTTTTGATTGGGATAACGTTAAAATACTTGATATTGAATCTAATTATTATAAAAGACTTATCTCGGAAATGATACACATCAAGGAACAAAGGCATGGTATAAATAATAACACTGACACCGAATTGCTTAACAACGCGTATTTCGACATTCTAGAAGAAATATCGAATTTTTAGACTTATGTAAATGTTTATTTTGTGAGATCTGACACCTATTTATTCGACTTTTTAAAAGACTAGACAACAGTCAAGTACTAACAATAAGGCCAACAACAATTAGAAGCATTGTCATCTCAAGTTATTCGGAACAATTTGTAAGCATAAAGGTTCAATATTTTAGTAGTTAGTTTAATTTATAATTTTTAATCTTTTTTCACATACACATTAGTGGAATCCTATTTTACAATTGAATAAATTCTTTAAATTCAGTTAACAAATA